GCCCCTGGAGTCAGGTACAAGCATATGTATGACAAGAAGTTGTCTATTTGGCAGGGTGGTTGTGAACAGATACTTAAATACTACATAAATTGTATTGTTTTGAAATTGTATATACAGTATAGTTTTGCAGAGGTATAGGTCAGATTATTTGAAATCTTTGGAAGACAAGTGCATACAATTTCTCATTATTATTATTATTATTATTATTATAAAGTGTATTAAAATAAGTCATCTACTACGTACACTCTAATTCCTATTTCCACATATGATATAGTTGAAAGAAATTAGTTAAAACTTCCTTTCACAATAAAAAAAAAAGTCTGTTGTAGCTAAAGGAGTTTGTAATCAGATTACATTTTCTCTTCTTACATGTGATGCAGTGCTCTGTGGACTGCGGAACAGGCTCCCAACAGAGGTCAGTAGTGTGCCTTATGAAATCAGACAAAGAATTCACTATAATGCCTCCATACGAATGTTCCTCTCTGGAGCGACCACTGAGCCAACAGAGCTGTAGCCCTGAAGCCTGCGGCGCCCAGTGGTACCACACTGACTGGAGTTCAGTGAGTTACATTCACAATTATGGAAATGAATTAGCATCATATTCATTTGGACTTTTAACTTCTTTCAGTGTTCAAAAACATGTGAAGGAGGTTTTAGAGTTCGTGAAGTCCGCTGTTTGTCTGATGACAGGCTGTCTAGTGAAAGATGTGATGTCAACATTAAACCAGCGGATAAAGAAAACTGCAATCCTGAGCCCTGTGCGCCGCCCACAGGTGACAAGAGACCGTTCCACATGAAAGTGTTTATGGTCATGTTTCATCCACGTATGAGGAATTTCTCCAGTCAAATTACATTCTTTGCTATTCAATTAGACCACATCGTATTAGATTTTGATCTAAATCTAGGAGAATGTAATTTCCCATGGTCCCTCTTGTATAAAAACAACAATAGTTACGTTGATATAAGTTTGTATTCTATTAGATTTTTTTCTTGAAATCAGGATTTTATTCTTAATTATCATCATATAATTTGTCATTTTAAGTGAGTCTTCCTGGCCAAAATGTCCTACATTGGTAAATGTGTTTTAAAGTAACGCAAAATAACCCATCTTTGTCAATAACAACACCTATAAAAATACCCTGAATTTGGGTCTAGACCATGGATCTATAAGGTCTAAACAAAGTTAAGTTTTAATCCAAACTTTGGAAGCAGTACACACACCATGCAAAGATGTACTTCAGAGTGCTAGAGTAGACTCTAAAGAGTCAACTGTAAGTATGAGAAAGGTCTGTTTTATTCAAAGGAATCACAGGGACCTTTAGACCATCAGACCCCACCAATGTGCAATTTCTTTGCTACTTCATTATTTATTTGCTATCCTGAAAATATTGTTTATCTATTTTTCTGTGAAATATTTCCAAACATCCAGAATTAATTTATCAATGCACTTTATTTCATAATAGCAAAATAATGTATACATTGTATGGTATGTACTTTATTTGAACAGGGACAGTATACAATTAAACATTAACACAAAGGAGAGAGCACTGTACCAGGTTATAGCAAAGCTGCTAATTTCTACCTGTAGTCCCTGGGCAGGCTGGTGTTATATTCATTTAAACAGATTATAATTTAAATAGATACATACAGTACATGACCGTGTCTTCCATTTACAGACTTTAAATAACATAATTCACAAAACATTTAATTTAATACCAATAAATACAGTTCCCCAACTTCTAAAATACTGTATTACCCTCACTCACTCACTCGTTTGTGCAAACTTGCTTTTTCAGAAGCCATTTCTTAGTCAGCCAAGAAAATTACAACTTTTGTTTAAATGGGCAATTTGCTTTCATTGTTATTCCTTTACAAAACAAATGCGTTTCTTTGCAGATGACGGGTGCAGGGACAAGTATTTTAACTGCAACGTGGTGGTCCAGGCTCGCCTCTGTGTGTATGATTACTATAAGACTACATGCTGTTCATCTTGTTCAAGAGTGGCACACAGACTTTCACATCACAGGAGCCACAGCTAGCATGACCCAACAGTGGCCCCAGTCATGCCTCAAAACTCACTCCAGGGGTGATTTCCCAATTATGGACAGAAACTGTTGTGGAAACTGCTGGAAACAGGACGGGGACAGAGTGTGAAGCACAAGTAGAAAACAAAGGACTTATTCGTGTTTTCTGAGCTACACTTTAGCCTTCACTTAAGACTGTTTATGTTTCACTGCAACAATAGTTTGGACAGAACGTAAATGTCCAGGCAGCGCAACAAGACAAGGAGTCTCCAAATCCTGTAGCGTGGCTTGTACAAGCTGCAGCGGGTAGAGTCGTATTTCCTGAGCACAACCGTTATTCTTACAGGCCTAATGGTACTCGATGGAAAGCGCCACTCCAACATGTGTTTACCAACGTTTGTTGCTAGGAAAAGTATAAATTCTTATTTACTGATCATGACTAAGTGAATGTGTGCTACCCACCAACACCATTGCTTGGTGTTGGATTTTGCTAAAACATCAGGCTACTCAGTTTGATATAATCTGGGAAGAGCAGACTTAAAGTGATTTAAGTCACAAATGTTAATGTTGTTCCTTCCAATTCTGGTTCCTAAAATTAGTGTGTAGCCTTAAAAATGAAAGTATTACTTGTGATAATAGGCTGTACTTCATACTCCCATGTGGGCATGGCTATGACTGAGCTTGCCTGATCTCAGAAGCTAAGTGATGAGAGAAGCTAGGTGGAGGAAGTCTTGTGGTGGGCTCGAATCCACGACCTCCAGGCTCAAAGGCCAATGCTCTACCAACTGAGCTATGGTTGCCCCTACTGTTGCTTCCAACCATTATGGATAATGCACCACACATGGTTAAGCACCTTTGTGACCCTGTCACGTTGCCTCTTTAATGGTAACTGGTCAGAACGAAAGGCATGTGGCGTAGTGCACCCTTGAATCCACAGATCCATGTGCAGTTTGGATCTGTGGCTCCGTGAGCCGAGACATGAGACACAGGAGAGACTGATTGTCCATCTACGAGCAACAAAGTGACTTGTAATTGACTATTTAAAATGGGATTGCAATCAAGAAGGAACTGTTCACATTGATGTACATTACTGTAATTTTATGTTGACAACTTGTAATGTGTTGTCGGAACAAGTTGCAATTAAATGGATGGAATAATGGTTTATTGAAAATTGACTTCTCAGAAAGAGGATGATAACACATCATTTTTAATGGGGAGGGGTTCTTGTGTCAAACCAAAAAGAAACCTTGTAGAAAAGTTAACATCGGAATCCAATTATGGGATACTTGTTTTGTTGCTAAGATGATTTGACAATGGATCCACACTGCACAACTATATCATAATGATGAGACAACTTCAAAGAGTTGTGTGTTGAGATCCCTGAAAGTATGTCATTATTGCAATCTGCATCTGAATGAAGCTGATTTCTTTGCAACCAATATTCTGTGCACATCTGGATTATAGCTCATCCTCAGTGGCCAATGCTGTTTTCTGTGATTTTTGTCAATCTATTCTTTTCCTTGCCCACAACAGATATTTATCAGAGATATATCAAGCCTTTATTTGATAAAATGTTGACAAATGCCTCACAGTAAAAACCAAACAAACCCTCTAAAAAGGCTTGAGATATGTCACTGTGGATGTACTGAGTCTATATCAAATAGTGGTTGAATTACAATAATAAATTACCTTTTTGAACAATATTCTATTTTTTTGATTTTTTTTTACCTGTAATGTAGTCTGAATACAGTTCCTCAAAAAGAGTAGCTTCTAAACATTCTGGCTGGGTCTACGGATGCAGGTGTGCGAGGTGTGGCACATTCCTCCTGTCAGCCATTAGTTGTTGTAATAACATGAACATGAACTCAGCTTACATCTCATATCCCATCCCTCCAGGTTTTATATTCTTTGATTGGAGCTCAAGGAAACTTTAAGAGCATGAGGAAAGCACAAAGTATGATGTGTCCTTCACCAGACATCCTGCAGGAGGACCACAGAGCCCCCATAACTGATTTGGTCTGATATTCAATTTGCTCTTCAAAAGTAACTATCTTAAGTAAGTAATCTTTATTTATATCGCCTTTCAGAGACCAGAGTCACAAAGCGGTTTACAATCTTACATTGAACAGACTCATGTCACTAATTCATTCATTATAAAAAGCATACACAAACCACCTGTATACTTTTCCTCTAAATCATTTGTCATAACTTACAATTCCACAATGAGTTACTTTCACTTGAAAGCTGATCATAAATATTTATTCCTAGAAAGCTGTGGCGCAACTACAGCTTTGGCCTTCAACCATTATTTATCTTTTCAATTAAGTTCATGATTATGCAGGCAGCACCTGTTCACAATGTGGAGTCTTGTGTCATGATGATAGTTCTCTGTATGTAAGAACTTATTTCTTCATCTCTGTGTTGCAAACAGCCACTTTATAGATGGGAAACTTCATTATGGGCTAATGCTTACAGACAGAAAGATACTGTGGAGAACTTTCCAGCAACAGTTTTTGAGAAAGACAAAGTTTGAAGTTGAAAATCTTGAAACGTGATCAATCAAATACTTTAATGTACCAGTGTAACAATTTCTTAGTGGTCAAACTATTAACCACACGTGCCCACGTGTACTGTACCTCTCCAAAATCCATCTACCCCGGTCTAACGGACGCAACGCCCAAACAGTAAATACAGTCTTGATCCCTGTACACACAGTGTGTATGTGTTTAAAGATATAAAACTAATAATTAAATCTGTTGTAAAAGCCATGTTCATGAAAATGTATTTTTATAATATATGAAACTGATGAAATTGAGAATCATTACAAATTTTATTACTTTTAAAAAAATAACAGAACTAGTGCAAAACATTCATCTTGAGGCACTGAATTAATACTGGGCGATTGATATTCTGTTCTAAATGACTGGAAAAATATATTGATAAAGGTATGATTATTGTAAGAGTTGGATTCAGCTGTTATTTCTCGTTGCTGGTGACAGGACTGAAGGCTTTGGCGGAGTCGGCCATGAATGCTTCAATTTCTTCCACTGTCCGAGGCACACAGGTCAGCAGCTCCATGCCATCAGCCGTCACTGCGATGTCATCCTCAATACGAACCTGCCAACACATTATGGTTTGAACAAATCAACTACTGCAGGACAACCAGACAATCGTTGGTATAGTAACAGTTAACTTCTCCGAGATGAAATAAGGACATTCCCATATAGCACGTTTTTACACTCCCACGGTCACCCAAAGCACTTTATAGTCATTTACGTACCCCTCCAAAGCCACGGAAACGGGCCAGCTCTTGGTTGTTGATGAAGCAGCTCTGAGCGGGGTTAGCGAGGGCCTGGTCCAGAAGGTGATTGATAAAATATATCCCAGGCTCCACCGTGAGGACCATACGCTCTTGTACGAGACGACCCATCCGCAGACTTCTCAGCCCAGGCTCGTCAATGCGCTCTGTGCCCTGTAATTGTAAAGTTAAAAGTTGTTTCATCTTCATTTTGAGAGCCCTGTAGAAGCTCCAAACTGGTTTATGAGCTGGTATTCAAGCAGAGGTCGTGGGCCTCGCAAGTGAATGACAGTTTTATCACAATAACATGAGGTCTTTAAGAGAACAAAGGTTGCAGCGCCCAGACCACTCTTCAGATCATGGACATTTCTAAACCATCAAAGTTCAGTTCAATTCATTTCCGCAGAGCCCTGATTACCAACAGGAGCCATCTCTGAGGACTTTACAAAATTGTGGAAACATTGTTAAAACATTTTTTCTTGTTACCAAGCTGGGTAAGCTGACGCCCAAGACTTCAGGCAGAGAGTGGTTAAGAGAACCGGGGTTAAGTTTTAAGAATCATCTGTAAATAGTAAATACTGCAATAATGTGCAATGTTCAATACTGCAATTTCAGAATGTCCCATGAAAATCACTTTATCTACCATTATCCTGTACACTATATGTAATATATGTAATATGTAATTAGGGGCTGGTGCTATGTGTACTTTGTGCAGCTCTGACTGTTGCAAAGAAACATAATACTTGTATATTTTGTGTGCTTTTACTACTGTCCTGTATGTGCGCTGCAACATTGAAATTTCCCCAAAGTGGGACGAATAAAGGTGCTCTTATCTCATTTTACCGCATTATTGTCTATTATCTTAAATAATAGACTCAATTTGATGTGTGCAATTTGAGTGCTCTTATTTCCTTCTTTCTCCTCTGTAATGTGCGCAACGATGACACTGAAATTTCTCCACTGCGAGACGAATAAAGGTATATCTTATCTTAAGTGTCTTGCCCAGAGACACAACCCCAGCAGGCGGTCAGTGGGAGAAGGTGACATGACAAGTCTCCTGGACCTGTCACCAGCTCCACCAACTGATCCTGCAACCCGTGAAGTGTAAATAAATAATTCCTCACCTCGGGGTAGCCTCCCACGTCGTGCACATCGATCCCAAGCAGATGGCCGAGACCATGGGGCATAAAGACAGAGCCCATATGGACCTTCATCATGTCTTCAACACTTCCATTCAGGATGCCGATCCTCAGCAGCTCCTCCAGGTGAACGCGGTCGGCGAGACGGTGCATGTCAGTCCACTTCACCCCTTGAGAGTTTAGAAGATAGTTTTTGAAAATATATTTCAAAAACTCTACTACAGCACAGATGGTAAATTAATGTGCACCTGGTTTTATAGCGGCCATGACAGCTCTGGACGACTTGAGGACAGCTTCATAGATGGCCCGTTGGTCTGCGGTGAATTTGCCATTGGCAGGGAACGAGCAGGTGATGTCGGAGGAGTAGCAGTAGTATTCTCCACCCATATCAAAGAGGCTATAAATAACACGCACGTTACTGAGCAGACACAACACTTCGACCGCAGACAAACACACAATTTTGTATGATTTAAATGAACATAACGCATAGTACATTAAAAAAGGCACTACTTAGTTTTGCACAAGAGAGACTATATTTGAACCTTATTACATGTTTGCACTCTAAACTGTCTTTTTGCACACCCTGAGTGATTCTATCCATTCCAAATGTGACAAGATATCTCTCCATTATGAGATCAGTATAGTTGATCTCATCTTATCTTAAAAACTATGGGGTGAGGTATATACAGCTCTGGCTCTGGGCTTTGGTGCGTTGCTGGTTTGTTGCTGCATCGTGATTGGCTGGGATCGTTGTGTTGTCGCACATGGCTCCAAAACACACGGATGTATATATGATATTCACAGGGGTGGGAATTTCTAGGATTTTTCTTCCTCTCACTCCTTTTCGAGTTTGAAAAATTTACAATATTGTAATGAGTAATTGTAAATGAATGATTTGCTAGAAAATTCCATGTAGTGACATTTCATAATTCATGTTTGATGTACAGTGACAACTCAAAATAAAAATCGGATAACGTTGAAGTGACAAAGGCAGGATTTCCATGTGTCAACAGCTCCCCCTCATGGATACTCTAGTGAATGACATCTTTAGGACACAAAGGGATGAGAAATAGGTTTTGTTATTTACCACATGTCTCCATCCTTAATAGTCTTGTCATTTGGGGCCCCGGCGTGTCCATAGTGGAGAATGGAAGCGTTGTGTCCCCTATTAGAAACATAACTTGTTAAGAATCATGTATTTAATTAGTATCACATTGTCTGTTTAGTAAAGGGCCTTACGTTCCACAAATGCAGGTATATGAGGTGTGTCGCATCCCTCCCTTAGTGTAGCAGTAGTGCTGGAAGAGACTGAAAAAAGGAGTTCCTTTGAATTGGTTTCATTTCTAAATATTAATGAATACATTCCAGCCATAATTTCAATGTTCTTTCCACAATCACACCATGACACATACCTTTCCATTTCATATTCCTTCTGGCCTGGTTTCACATTTTTCATTATCTACAAAATAACATTCTTTAGTGCACATGACTCAGAAGATCGTAATGTCCATGTTTAAAGTCGTCAAGGACAAGAATATAAGTAGAAGAAAATGCTCTTTTTCCACTGTCGGACTATGTGACCTTGTTTGGATTTTCAATCATTTTCTGTTAAATCGCTTACCATTTTGTGGGCTTCACTGGAAATTCGGTTGGTGTAGCGCAACACTTCCAACTCCATATCAGTCTTCTGCAAACGGCTACACAAAGACATCTTTAAGTGCACTTTATCATTGCATTACGTCATCATTACATTATGTCCCTGAAGTTCAACTATGTGCTATTGACCTCAAATATAAATGTATATTATATTTTTGTTCCCTTTTAAACATAGGTGATTTTTATTCAGTGGGCTTGCCTTTGCACATATCTAACATGCAATTTGGCCTTCACTTCGTTGAGAAAGAACAGCATAATGGCACCAATATTTCAAGCCCCTTGAGCCCCCTCACATCTACAAGCACTAAGGGTATACTATATAACACTATGATTTTAAAAAGGCCACAGTGCAATCTGCGGAAAAAAATTATGCAACATGTAGAGTGTACAGGTTTTTACTTAGCAATAGATCTTAAACTTAACATTTAGCACAATTTTGTCCACAGTTTTTCTTCTTTCATCATGGCAGTTGATGGAGCACTACTTTTATGGGACACTATGCTCAACCGCGTTTAAAAATAATAATAAGAACCTTACAAGAGTATTCCCTATATCCGGGCACAATCTTTCTGCAATTTAACCCTACAGTATCTCGTCCCCGTCCCTCGCAATCAACATAATTAGAATAATAAAATGGCTCTTTGTCGGAACGATGATAATTCTTGCTCCAAACACATTAAACATTCAAATAAATCCGCCATCTAATAGTTCAATTTGCACAGAATTGATTGAGAGCAGGAGGCAAAGAGGTTCGGCACAATCCTTCTCCCCAGGTGGTGTGTCTGCCGAGTCGCACTGTTTATTTCAGAAAATGTCAATTCAACTAAAGGGAGCGAACACTAATGCCATGAAATACCGAGCAAGCACGAAGTCTATTACATGACATCCATCTAAAAGGAGACGACAAAACCAAGCCAATAAACCCAGTGTTCAAATGTGGATCCGTGGTGTGGAGGGAAGGCCCAGGCACTAGGCTAGTCTTTATTTGAGAAATCACAAGACAATAATGTTTGGAGAACTCACCATTCCACAATGACCGGGTGCAGAAGGGTGTTGTCGACCTGGAAGCTGATAACAAACGAAAGAATGACATGTTTTGAATGAAGGTAAATAAATGCAATCGGAGCGTGCTTAATTTGCTCTACAGAGAAAAGCAGTGTGAAGGACAACATTTGCTCTGCTTTTAATTAATATCTAACAAGCAGCTGCATTCATAATTAGGCTCATCAACAATAACTATGTGGCGGTGTGATGAAAAATAATAAGGAGTCCAATTAAAATCTAGTTATATAAATGCCAATGATGCCAATTCTACACACCTGCTAATTCCCTGGAATGAAGCCTCGCGGCAGATGCTCCCGCTGTCTGTGTTCAGTCCCCTCTGAAAAAGAAGGGACCCCGGGATTGGTTTTGGTGTTACTGGTCGGAGTTAAACTCCACATAATTGGACTGTTGTTGTGTGCACTTTATTCAGAAACTTTTAGAAGGTTGAGACAACACCAAATTGCATACCAGTGTGAGGAGCAGAGCTGGTTTCAGGTTGGACAACACATCAGCAATCTGAAAGGACATTAACAAGGTCCAATTAGTGTCCAAAGAGTAGAAGGCGCCGTATTCTTCCTCCAGTTACCGACACTGGGATAAAGGTCAGTTGGACAGTAGCCTCAGAGGCTTTCTGGCCTCTGTGGGTCCTCAGTAGAAAATAAATAACAATTGATTCTCAAGCGATTTTTGGCCCAAATGTCAAAGTATGGCCTCTGTATTACTGCAACAGTATATTATTTTGTGGAAAATAATAATGAATAAATCCAGGAAACGACTTGTGGGGGAAGGTAGACAATACGGCTTGATAGATATATTGCTCAGATAAAAAAGATAGAAAATTAATTTTGGTCCGCTATTGTTTACTCATTCATGTTGAATATTAGACCTATTTCACCAAACAGCAGCTTTTGAGAGTTTTCTGTCCGTTAACCTTAGCGTGTCTGACAAACATTGCCTGTGCTCTTTGGTCTCCCTTTATTGTTTTTTATTGTTTTAAATCCAAATTATCTATCTAAAACCGTAAACCATTTCCGCCTAGGAGGGAGGTTGACTACATTCACACCTCTAGACCTCTCAGGCAAACAACACTGCTGCACGGTGCCACCACGGCTGGGTCTGGTTTTCAGCCAGGGGGCCCAACAGCCAAAACTGGTTTACCCCCCTCGCAGAGGGGACCGCTGCACGCAAACTCTTGCTTCTTCCACTGTCAAACCTCTAACATTCAACGCTCACTTCATGCCATTGTTCCATCCATTCCTGGGCCTACTACCACTCACGCAACAATTCAACACTCTCTTATATATGCCCATCTCATCACATGCATCTGCTCTACCAGCAAGGTCACCTCTCACACCCATTCTCTCCCCAACAATTACATTCCTCATTCTATCCCTCATAGTCACCATTATCATACAATGCTTCCTTTCACCTGCTCTCACACCCCATCTTCCTGCACCATGGCACAACCACCCTTTCCTACAAAACTTCATATTAGAAAAAATAAAATACTATTAAAGTGGTGATAAGAGCCCTTTCCCCTGGACCAGCCGTGCTTGTGCAGAGTAGAACGTACATCAGTGGTGAAGTGGACCTCATCCACAGCATACTTCTGTTTGAAGTGATCCCTAGTGAAGATTCTATATTGAACATTGAAAATAAGAAGAAAATTACAAAATGATATCAGGGAAAGCATGATTACGCAAATGTTTTGAGGAGAAAGTTGAAAAAAACAAAACAATCTTACTCTCCCATCCACGTTGCATAACTATCAGGGAGTTTGGGAACGAAAAGGATGGATTTTCCAGAGTCCACATGCACAGCTCCATAACAGTCAGGCTCAGTGACTCCAAAGGCCCAGTGAAAGTATGACTCCTGCAGAATAAACACATGTATTTCATGTTTAAGTGCGTGGGCTGCACAAAAAAATCACAATGAAAACAAAACAGAATTGTCGTCTCAATTTGAAAATCCCAATTTTTTAAGTTTGTTGCAAACAAAAAAGACTAAAAGAAAGTGTCTCTTGATTTGAGCCCACTGTCTTTCAACCTGATGACTGGCAGAAACATTATTTTCTCATTCCAAATGAGACATCTCATCTTTTATATTTATGTACACTGTCAAAATGTCATCAATAAGAATTTTGTGAGAAAAAAAAACAAAACTATAAAAACATGTTTGCACTATATGTTATAACTGTAAGCATAACATTACAGGAAATCAAACATTTAATTGCAATCACAATTTTGGTCAGAAATAGACAAAAAAGGGCAGCGCACCTGTCTGAAGAGCAAGTCAGTGTCGGTGCAGTATCTTTGCTTCTGCTCTCCGCCCTGCAGCAGCACCAGGCTCTGAGGCTGCACTGCCGCTGAGGCCTTCAGCCCTTTACACAGACGCTGGCGGTTCTCTGCAAAGAGAGCTGCAGACACCCTCAAGGTGTCATTCCCCAGCCAATACACAGGTCTGAAAACAGCACAATCAGGAATAACACATGTATTTTAACATGCGACATAGTGTTAGAATGACTGCAAATGAAAATATGAGAAGTGAAACCAATTCTCAAAACACAAGTGTTTGAGAATTCAATATGATTTGAGATCTTGTAAAACGAGTTATAAATTGGCACCACTCCTTACGTCCCTCACAGTGATACCAAAGGTTGTTTGGAGTTTTATGGTATGTTATATAATAAAAAATAAAAAAGGATCAAGGAAAGTACGCACTTTTTAACAGAGACTTTTAAATGTAACGTGGAATGTGCAAAAGAATACACTTAACAAGATGTGAGATTGCAACTGAGAATATATGCATGTTTATTCTGTCATATGTGAATCGACAACAAACAACGTTGTCAGCAGCAGCAGCAGCAGCAGCAGTGATCTTTGACTGATGATAGCCCAACATGGACATTGCCCTGTAAGTTCTGAGTTTGAGACGTTTGATTGTTTGATTCAAGAATATAAAAACAATAACCTAAACACAACTTTCAAACAGAAAGAGAGAAATAAAACCTGGATATCCTGCATTTAACATGTTTGCACACTTTCTTTGCACATTATTTTTTTCTTCTTGAGTGATTCTATCCAGATGTGACAGATGTGTAAATTTCTCCTGTGTAAGATCAAAAAAATCTTATCTTACTGTTGCTGAGGATTGACACGAACAAGTAAAATACTATCTGCAAGTTAGAGTGAATTTAAGAAAGATAGTCCCACAATCTCTGGCAGTGGTTTTAGATCTTGTGTCAACATTTTTCCATTTAATGATTTATTTTAACAGATCCACGAGCTCTACTCACTGTGCAGCTGCAGCCATGATGACAACACGACCAACTGTCACGTGCGCCTCTCCCACGTGACTGCTGAACAGGGCGGCGCCGTGGTGCGTTTGTGGGAGTCGGAAAAAAGACAGATTCACATTGTGTTTGCGTTACGTGTTCATGGCATGGATCTAGTTCATGGGTCTATTATATTTTAACAATATGTGTTTGTAAAGAGAATCTCAAACTGAAGGAGCAAGTTCTCCTGTTTGTCACTTAAAGTTCATTTGCACATCATTTTTCAAAGAAACGAGGCTCCGTCTGAATTCATGAACAGTGCCTCCTTAGCCCTCCTCGTCCTTCCTTCTCCTTTTCAGCCATAGATCCATGTTTTCAGCCTATGCGAGAGGCTAGGTTCCTTTTTGGTCAAGTAAAATAAGGTAAGGTAAGGTGAAAGGGTAAAAGGGTAAATAGGAACCGCAATCTAAAATTGTAAATATGAAGGGAAGAAGGAGGTATTTGTGTCATGCAGTCTTTCCGCACTTCACTCACACTTGGGTTTTACGCGTATTTACTTTCTGTGTTTTGTTGTTGCTTGCATTACCACTGGGCAATGCCAGGTCCTAATTCCTGTTGCAATATTCACAACTTTCTTGTATTGAGTAAGGCCGAATACAAATTTCTAGTTGTTTATCTGGCACATCATTGTAAGTGGACTATAGTTGCCAATAATAATTACTTACTTACTTACATCTACTAGTTTTATTTATATTAAATATATGCTCCAAACTTACTGCATAGCACATATTTATGTGTATTACTGTATAATAATTCTATATTTATTTGTAATTATCTTCCTTTAAAAATCATTCCAAGTACCTTATAGTGTATTACACTGCATTACACCCTTTGCAAAAAAAAAAAAATGTAAAAAAAGAAAAAAAAGAGGAAATGGAAAACTCATAAGTCTTCTCCAAAGAAACACATCTCTGTGTGTGCCTAGCTGTGTAAAAGTGCCATTTCCCCTGCGTCCAAAACGTTATCGGCCTCCACAGCTGACAGTGATCGTCCTGCAGTTGAACTCAGCTCCCAGAGCCACAGGCTTAATTGCTTGCAGCTTTTTGGACCTGTGCAACAGAGGACCACTATCAAAGAAAGACAAACAATAAGCTGGGTCAGCAGCTTCCCTTTGGTAAAGGGAATCCTTTACCAAAGGGAATTTGAGTAATGGGTGTCCACTGACCACAGCTACACCAGGACCAGATCCAAGGCTAAATGAACAGGAGAAAACTGAAGACATTAAATCATGATTATTTTTTCAAAAAGGATTTCTTGTGCCGACAATAATAAATCAAATTGATCCAATCCTGTTGAAGTCATTTTTCAAGTCACTGGGCAGTGGCAGCTGAGTGCCCAGAGTAAGTTTTCACCAGAAGAAAAGTCGATTGCTGCCTGACTATAATGCTTCAGTCTATTAGGTAGATAGTGGACTGTGGCAGACTTTATTTATTATCTTCAGATGGTCAGGCAAGTGTTTAATTAAAACGGTAAAGATCCTATATTTTGATGATTCAGAGAAAGTCCTGCTGTTTAAATGTTCCTTCTTTATTGACACATTGAACATTCCTTTTGCTGCTGTTTTAGACTCTACGTTGTGCATTTAGCCCTGCTCATTGTAAATGTTGAACTTCATGCCTGAAACTACCAAATGACTCATCATGTTGTCATGGAAACATGTCCCCCCTAGAAAGTGGGGGTGTTGTTTGAAATCCTCCATAATGTCCCTTTAACCTTGTGACATCTTATATGTACAGCACGTGTTCTCTTCAGTACACAATACAAATAAAGCACGTTATTTGAAATGTTAACACAAAAAACCAAAGAACCAAATTGTCATTGAAGAGAAATTCAAATTTTTTTCCTTGTTACTTGAACATGTGACACAACATATATAGCAATAATCCAAAGCAAAAAGTAATAATAATCAGATATTTTGTATGTAAATGTGGTCGTAAAGTGTAAAGATGTAGAAAAGTGAATTTACTTAATGTGTGATAAAGAGTCATATATGTAATGACATTAAAATGATTAAGTGTTCCTCTGGCCTTTGCGTTCTGCCAATATAAGCCAGGGATGTAAAACATGATTAGAGTGTGTTTGTGTGACTGCACAGGTCAATGTTGTTTTGATCAATGAACATGTATCTCACCACAAGGTCGCTCTGCTCTCTTCTAAAGCACCTGCCACCGCCGAACCACTCACTCACTCTGCAAGGGGTATGTTCACATTGACTTTCTCTCTGTTCAAAGTTCCTCGATTCATTTCTACAATGTTTGAAATGTTTATTTAGTCTTTAATTCATAAGAGTGCAGAGCAGTGAAAAACTTTCACCATCGACTCCCACTTTCTGCTGTCGTTGTGTCCTTGGCAAGACACTTAACCTCTGGGAACAGCAGCCCAGAGCCAGTAAAGTGCCAAACTGCCATTGTGTCCTAAGGCAAGACACTTCACCCACATTGCCAAGAATGAGTCTTGACTGTGTGAATAGTTGGTGGTGGTCGGAGGGGCCGATGGCACATACTGGTTGCCTCGCTTCTGTCAGTGTGCCCCAGGGCAGCTGTGGCTACAGTAGTAGTTTATCACCACAGTGTATGGAGTGAATGAATAATGACATGTGAAGCCTTTGAGTGTCCAAAAAAAGCGCTCTCTAAAACCGATGCATTATTATACATTTCCATGGAAAATGTTTTTATTATATTGTAGCAATATAGTTCTTGATCCAGTATGTACAGTATTGTATGGGGTAGATTTACAAGTACAATGGATCATTGCCTGAGAACGAGATTCAGCTAAATAGTATCATCTGTGCATCAATAGCAACTAAAATAGAAGGATGTGGCTAAATATCTTTATATAACTGAGAAATCCTGCTCTAGAAAACAGCATATTCATAGATGAACACACACTCTTCAGTCACTCCCAAAGCTGCAGCCAAATCAGCCCACGCAATCTTGTCTCTTCTGTGTTCCGCATAAATCCCTTTAATCCTAATAAAATAATTTGCTGACGTGTTTAATCATCAATTATTTCAGGCAATGTCAGATTTGAGAAGCTGAAACTATGGCCTTTACACATACTCATTTAAAGATTCTTGCAACATATGTCATATGTTAGTTTTTCATCTTATTAAATCAAGAAAACATATGACTATAATACAATATAAAGTATGGACAGATGGGCATTGGTGCAGCCTCTGATCAAAGGGCGTCTCTGAGCAGGTTAAGCCACATTCACATGATCCCTAACCCACTGCAGATGTTTATGATTGGACAGGATTAGGGACACCACATATTTTCATCAGGATTTGTCCAGCTCAAATATGAAAACTGAGCACAGGCCTGGACTTAACTGCCAAATCATTTTAATTACAGTGGTCATAGAAACTAACGTCCAAGAGACGCGTAAGCCCAGGCGTCATTATCCAGTGCTATGTGCCCAGAAGTTGAACATTTGGCATAGGTTTGGTTTGTAAAAAAAAGTCATATTGAATCTAATTTTGAAGATAGGAAATGAGTCACCATTAAGAGAATATACTTTGATTGTTGCTTGTATTAATATGCACATACTATTTTGTACAAAGGCTATGCGGCAAATGAAGCCATGCAGTAGAGCGCTGATGGAGGCGCTTCACCTGCAGTAGAGCGCTGATGGAGGCGCTTCACCTGCAGTAGAGCGCTGATGGAGGCGCTTCACCTGCAGTAGAGCGCTGATGGAGGCGCTTCACCTGCAGTAGAGCACTGATGGAGGCGCTTCACCTGAAGTAGAGCGCTGATGGAGGCGCTTCACCTGCAGTAGAGCACTGATGGAGGCGCTTCACCTGAAGTAGAGCGCTGATGGAGGCGCTTCACCTGCAGTAGAGCACTGATTGAGGCGCTTCACCTGCAGTAGAGCGCTGATGGAGGCGCTTCACCTGCAGTAGAGCGCTGATTGAGGCGCTTCACCCGCTTGTTTGGCCTTGTGGATTTACTAACAATCGCCCGCCTCCTTTTGTCCTTGTCAAGTATATTATAATTTCATTGTGGGTCCTATGAGCTAATCATACGAGGGCTGTCATCACATGCTTTCCATTGTGGACGATAATTATGGTTGTCACTGCACGGTAATATGCTTAAAACAGTTAGTTTAGATTATGCTGCAGCTAAGAATGATTTCGTTTATTTCTGTCTTTGTATACAGTTATTATTCTAGTATACTGCATATTGTATCAAGTAAATTATAAGAATATCTAACTTAGCACTAGGGGCGACAGTAGCTCAGTTGGTAGAGCATTGGCCTTCAGGCCTGAAGGTTGTGGGTTCAATTCCCACCTTCTCCAACGACTCCCACTGATGACTGCTGTCGTTGTGTCCTTGGGCAAGACACTTAACCCCACTTTGCCCAAAGCCCCCACTGAAAGATCAAGGCTATGCTCACACTCAGAGAGCAGCCGTCCTCCTGTGGACTCACCACCTGCAGAGGGTCAGTGAGGGGCTGGTGCTATGAGACTTGGGTGGCATCTCTGATTGCCACCCCCCTGACCCAGAAATGGATTAAAGGGTAGAAGATGGATGGATAGATGGATGGAACTTAGCACTACATAATGTTGGTCACTTCTCATTATAAGTCGATTTGATTCTTTCTGTGACACTGTGAAGCTGTATCTACTGCCCCTATTCATACCTCATTTACCAAAAACAAGTACATTTAAGATATTCATTTTTTGTGTACATTTCCAAGATCAGCTATGTGGCTGTAGAGGTTTTTTGATTTTGTAGAAATCCAGCATAAACACTTCTCTAATCATCAATGTGCTCATTTTTTATCATGCTATGATTCATTATACTCATCTTTCTTGAAATATTTCCGCATAAATCCATGTCCACTGTCCATGGTGCTGAAGTTGTGGCTTGCAAAAGTACTAAAACCTGAAGTTTACACATTTTTTATGTTTACAACCACAGACAAAAAATGTTTGTTGGATTTTTTAATGAAAGATCCCCATAAAGTAACAGAGGAC